AAACTAGAGAATTTTCTCATTAATTATTCAAGACAAGAAAAGTCTGGAGATCTTCCCTGGCAATACACTAGGCAGAAAACTAAACTAAGTATTTTGAAGAACAATGCTTTGAGAGTTCAGCCAAAAATTCTGCAATAACTTTTATTATTATTATAGAAATAAGATGCACAGATTAAGTTTTTACTAAATAAGTTCAAAGGAGATCTTATCTGTTTCCAATTTCCAGGTGGAAACTATATATGTGTTTCTTTGGGTTCACCTAATTACTTAGCTTCTCTAGGATCATGAACTATATGCTCAATGTCTTTTGTAGCTAGTATCCACTTATGAGTGAGTACATATCATATTTATCTTTTTGGGTTTGGGTTACCTCACTAAGGATATTGTTTTTTAATTCATCCATTTGCATGCAAAATTCAAGGTGTCAATATTTTTACCACTGAGTAGTACTCTAATGTGTAAATGTGCCACATTTTCTTTATCCATTCTTTGGTTGAGGGACCTCTGGGTTGTTTCCAGGTTCTAGCTATTACTAATAATGGTGCTATGAACATAGTTGAACAAATGTTTTGTAGTATGATTGAGCATCTTTTGGGTATATCCCAAGGAGTGGTATTGCTGGATCCTGATGTAACTTGATTCCCAATTTTCTGAGAAACTACCATACTGTTTTCCAAAGTGGTTGTACAAGTTTGCATTACCACCAGCAATGAATTAGTGTTCCCCTTACTCCACATCACCTCCAATATTAGTATTTTTTTATTTTAGCCATTCTGACAGGTGTAAGATGGTATCACAGAGTTGTTTTGATGTGAATTTCTCTGATAGCTAAGGATGTTGAACATTTCCTTACATATCTTTTGGCCATTTGAGATTCTTCTGTTAAGAATTCTCTGTTTAGTGCAGTATCCCATATTTTAATCGGCTTATTTAGAATTTTAATGTCTAATTTCTTGAGTTCTTTATATATTTTGGAGATCAGTCCTTTGTCTGATGTGGGGTTGGTGAAGATCTTTTCCCATTCAGTAGGCTGTCTTTTTGTCTTATTGACTATGTCCTTTGCTTTACAGAAGCTTGTCAGTTTCAGAAGGTCCCATTTATTAATTGTTTCTCTCAGTGTCTGTGCTACTGGGGTTATATTTAGGAAGTGATCTCCTGTTGACCATACATAGAAGACTACTTCCCACTTTCTCTTCTACAAGGTTCAGTGTGGTCAGATTTATATTGAGGTCTTTAATCCACTTGAACTTGAGTTTTGTGCATGGTGAGAGATATGAATATATTTTCAATTTTCTACATGTTGATATCCAGTTATGCCAGCACCATTTGTTGAAGATGCTTTCTTTTTTCCACTGTATAATTTTAGCTTCTTTGTCAAGAGTCAGGTGTTCATAAGTGTGTGGATTAATATCCAGGTATTCAATTTGATTCCGTTGGTCAACATCTCTGTTTTTATGCCAATACCAAGCTGTTTTCATTACTGTAGCTCTGTAATAAAGCTTGATTTTTTATTGTACAGGATTGTTTTGGCTATCCTGGGTTTTTGTTTTTCCAACTATATTGAAGAGACATGGAAAGAGTTGACAGCTTTGTCTTGTTCCTGATTTTAGCGCAATCACTTAGAGTTTCTCAAAATTTGAAGCATGGTGTTTGGAGAAGAAGGGAAGGTGGAATGGGAAGAGCAGTGGAGAAGGGAGGAGTTGAAAAGAACTTTATGGAATGGGATAGTCAAGATGGAGGAAGGACAGAGATGAGAGCAAGAAAAGAGATATCTTGATTGAGGGAGCCATTATAGGGTTAGAAGAAACCTGGCTATAGAGAAATTCTCAGGAATCCACAAGGATGACCCCAGCTAAAACCTTAAACAATAGAAGAGAGGTGGCCTGATCTTGACTTGCCCTGTAGTCAGACTGATGAATGTCTTAAATATCACCATAGAACCTTCATCCAGTAACGGATGGAAACAGAGGCAGGGACCCACATTGGAGTACTGGACTGAGCTCCCAAAGTCCAGTTGAAGAGTGGAAGGAATAAAAATATGAGCAAAGAGGTCAGGACCATGATGGATTCACCCACTGAAACATTTTACCTGAACTAATAGGAGCTCACCAATTTTACAGGGACTGGGAAGGAACAAGCATTTGACCAAACTAGTCCCTCTGAATGTGGTTGACAGTTGAATTGCTGGTGCAGACAGAGGGGCCACTGACAGTGACACCAGGATTTATCCCTACTGCATGTACTGGCTTTTGGGGATCCTGTTCTCTTTGGATGTATACCTTGCCCTGTAGTCAGAGTATACCTTGCTCAACCTATATATAGTAGGGAGGGCCTTTACTTTCCAGAAAGCAATGTGCCTTACCCTCTCTAAGGATGGATGGGGGTGGGGTGGGGAGGGTGTGTGGAGGGAATGGGAGGAGGGGAGGCAGTGGGAACTTGGATTGGTATTTTTTTTAGAAATCTAATAAATTAAAGAAAAAAAGAAAAAGAAAAAAATAAGTTCAAAGGAAAGGAAATGCTTTGGAAATGAAGTTTATAAGTTCATTTGCTAATGAACTTTCAGAAGTCTACATTGTCTGTAGTGGAGAACTGAGAAAGAAGATGCTGCTATCAAGGTCAGGAATGGGTGGTTAATGGATGTAACTATTTTTTATTTTAAAAAAGTTATTTTTATTCATTTTATTTATGAGGTTTTAATATAGTTACATTATTTCTTCCTTACCTTTCCTCCCATCAAACCTTACCACATACCCCTCCTTACTCTAGCTCAAATTTCTGGCTGTTCTTTTCATTAATTTTTGTTTTACACACACACACACACACACACACACACACACACACACACACACATACACACGTATCCTGTTAAGTCTGTAAGTTACTTGTACATATATTTTTTCAGGAATTACATTCAGTATTATATAACCAATTGGTGTTCTCTTGCCAGGGGAAGACTAACTCTTTGGCTCTTAGAATTGCTTAGTTACCTGTAGTTCTTTGAGGCCTTATAGGATTTCCCCTGGCCATGTTAGTATGCCGGTTATTGCCTTCGTTAAGTTCATGTTTAGACAGTCATTTTAGCGAGAGTGTGTGTAGTTTCTGACATTCCTAGGAGACTTGATCTCACAGCACACTCCCGACTCCTCTAGCTTTTACAATCTTTCACCCCGTTTTCTGCAATGAGCCCTGAGATTTAAGTGTGAGAATTGTTTTGTAGATATATCCCTTAAAATGGGCTCCACAAGCCTTGCTTTTGATTGGCTGTTTTCTATAATGGTCTCGGTTGCAAAGGGATGTTTCTTTGAATAGGGGTGATGGCTACTCTTACCTGTGTGTATATGGACAGATGCTTAGAATATAGTTAAAGATTATGATGATTTAGTAAAAATGGCAGTTGTAGATTCTCCTTAAAGATCTACAGATTCATTACCTCTGGGTAGTTATCTAGGTTTCTGAAATCACAAATGATTTCCCCTTTTTTTGAGCATGACTTAAATCCAAATAGAGAGCTTCTGGTTAACACCAAGGAATGTATGCCCCTCAATGTTATCATGGCTGGGGAAGAGTGTTGGTTGTTTTCCTCCTTGGAAAGCTTGGTAGTGCCTTCAGATACCATGAAAGATGGGGGGGGGGATTTCATGTCAGCTCCTATTCTGGGCCCTGGATCTGAGTATGTTTTATCTCAGAAATAGCAGCTCACTTTCCACCTCTGAGAGGCAATCAATGCCAATAACAGTAGTCTATAATATTTTAGGAGTTTCTTGGACAACCTTCACCACCTATTAAAAGAGGGCCTCTTGCCAGATGGTGGTGGTAATGCATGCCTTTAATCCCAGCATTTGAGAGGCAGAGGCAGGCTGAGCTCTGTGAGTTCTGGGTCAGCCTGATCTACAAGATCTAGTTCCAGGTCAGGCTCCAAAGCTACAGAGAAACCCTGTCTCAAAAAATAAAAAATAAAAAGAGGGTTTCTTATGCCTGATATTGGGGGTTTTATTAGATAATCTTTAAGAAAGCATTGTCATCCCACATGTGAGAATTTCATGTAAGATATATATTTATACAATATTTACCTGTTTTTATAGGTTTTTAGGTAGTTAATAGTATGAATCCTTATGTTACATATATTTCTACTGTTGTCTTACCCTCTTCCTTCCTTCTGCCTTTATCTTCCTCTTAAATTCCTAATTAGAGCTCCCTGATGTTCCCCATTCTCACACGTATCCTGTTAATCCCATCTTTTGCTCCTCTACCAACTCCTACCCTGGCAATGCTCCCTTTTAACCTTCCTGATTTCTGCAGTTACTACAGGATTTGTGCTCACATCTAAAGAATTAGAGCTAGGAGCCCCAGATGACAGAAAATATATGTCCTTTGTCTTTCTGGATCTGTGATATCTCACTCAATATAATTTTTTTTCTAGTTCCAAATGAATAGAATTCTTAATTGATTCAATCATTCACTTGAGTATCCCTCAGATAAGGTGTCGATTGTCAGATAAGGTGTCCCTCAGATAAGGTAAGACGATTGTAACATATTTCAACAGATTTCTATCTTTGATGGATTCCATCTTTTCTTTTTTTCTTTTCTTTTCCTTCTTTTTTTTTTTGGTGAAGTGAGTCTTGCTTATTCTAAACCATTTTTAGTGTTACTTCATTGTAGTTCTAATGTGAATTTTCTTAGGGAATAATGTTGTTTATCTTGTGTTTTAGACTTCCTTTATAAGGATATATGAATCTAGGCTTTTTTAGACCCAGGCCAGCTGGCCTTGGTGAGTTCCCGATAGAGCATCCCCATTGTCTCAGTGTGTGGGTGCCCCCTCGCGGTCCTGAGTTCCTTGCTCGTGCTCTCTCTCCTTCTGCTCCTGATTTGGACCTTGAGATTTCAGTCTGGTGCTCCAATGTGGGTCTCTGTCTCTGTCTCTGTCTCTGGGTTAAAACTGGTCTCGCTGAACATAGCTGACAATGAGGACTACTGAGACCTCAAGAACAATGGCGATTGAACTCGAGTTGGAAGAGGCGAGTCCGGTCTCAAAATGGAGGGCCATGATCCAAAGGAACCAGAACAGTTGAGGAAACTGTTTATTGGTGGTCTGAGCTTTGAAACCACAGATGATAGCTTAAGAGAACATTTTGAGAAATGGGGCACACTTACAGATTGTGTGGTAATGAGAGATCCCCAAACAAAATGTTCCAGGGGCTTTGGTTTTGTGACCTACTCTTGTGTTGAAGAGGTGGATGCTGCAATGTGTGCTCGGCCACACAAAGTTGATGAGCGTGTGGTGGAACCAAAGAGAGCCGTTTCTAGAGAGGATTCTGTAAAACCTGGTGCCCATTTAACAGTGAAGAAAATCTTTGTTGGTGGTATTAAAGAGGATACAGAAGAGTATAACCTGAGAGACTACTTTGAAAAGTATGGCAAGATTGAAACCATAGAAGTTATGGAAGACAGGCAGAGTGGGAAAAAGAGAGGATTTGCTTTTGTGACTTTTGATGACCATGACACAGTTGATAAAATTGTTGTTCAGAAATACCACACTATCAATGGGCATAATTGTGAAGTGAAAAAGGCCCTTTCTAAACAAGAGATGCAGTCTGCTGGATCACAGAGAGGCCGTGGAGGTGGATCTGGCAATTTTATGGGTCGTGGAGGGAACTTTGGAGGTGGTGGAGGTAATTTTGGTCGTGGTGGAAACTTTGGTGGAAGAGGAGGCTATGGTGGTGGAGGTGGTGGCAGCAGAGGTAGTTATGGAGGTGGTGATGGTGGATATAATGGATTTGGAGGTGATGGTGGCAACTATGGTGGTGGTCCTGGTTACAGCAGTAGAGGAGGCTATGGTGGTGGTGGACCAGGCTATGGAAACCAAGGTGGTGGATATGGTGGTGGAGGAGGATATGACGGTTACAATGAAGGAGGAAATTTTGGTGGAGGTAACTATGGTGGTGGGAACTATAATGACTTTGGAAATTATAGTGGACAACAGCAGTCAAATTATGGACCCATGAAAGGGGGCAGTTTTGGTGGAAGAAGCTCAGGCAGTCCCTATGGTGGTGGCTATGGATCAGGTGGTGGAAGTGGTGGATATGGTAGCAGAAGGTTTTAAAAAAAACAGCAGAAAAGGGCTACAGTTCTTAGCAGGAGAGAGAGCGAGGAGTTGTCAGGAAAGCTGCAGGTTACTTTGAGACAGTCGTCCTAAATGCATTAGAGGAACTGTAAAAATCTGCCACAGAAGGAGCGATGATCCATAGTCAGAAAAGTTACCGCAGCTTAAACAGGAGGCCCTTCTTGTTCAGGACTGTCAGAGCCACAGTTTGCAAAAAGTGCAGCTATTGATTAATGCAATGTAGTGTCAATTAGATGTACATTCCTGAGGTCTTTTATCTGTTGTAGCTTTGTCTTTCTTTTTCTTTTCATTACATCAGGTATATTGCCCTGTAAATTGTGGTAGTGGTACCAGGAATAAAAAATTAAGGAATTTTTAACTTTTCAATATTTGTGTAGTTCAGTTTTTCTACATTTTTAGTACAGAAACTTTAACAAAAATATGCAGTTTTGAAGGTGTTTCCTTGTGAGTTAACAAGTAAAGAAGATCATTGTTAATTACTATTTTGTATGAATTTTGCTAAAGTTAACTGTAAAGAAACACCTACTGACTTGCAACTTAAGGGGAATCTATTCTCCCCATTTCCAAAACCATGATAAATGGGCACTGACATGTGGAGAGAATAGATATTTGTATGTTTGCAATGTGTGTTTTAGATAATTAGGATTGGGTAATAAAAAATAGCATATTTGTGAATTTAATAGCATTAAGATCACTTTCAAATGAAAAAGATCTCAAAAGTTAAAAAAAAAAAGAACAATGGCAATGGGTTTTTGATCCTATTGCACTTATTGGTTTTGTGGGAGCCTAGGCAGTTTGGATGCTCACCTTACTAGACCTGGATGGAGGTGGGTGGTCCTTGGACTTCCCACAGGGCAGAGAACCCTGATTGCTCTTTGGGCTGAAGAGGGAGGGGGACTTGATTGGGGGAGGGGGAGGGAAAGGGGAGGCGGCGGTGGGGAAGAGACAGAAATCTTTAATAAATAAATAAAAAGAATATATGAATCTGTGTGTCAAGTACATTGGGTAGTTTGTCATCTTCTCGGCTGGTAGTTAGTATTATTTCAATAATCTTGATGCACACCCATCATCAGGTATATGGACTTTAGATATTTTTCCCAGTTTGATTTTCCATGTATATTCTTAATCATATATTTCAAAAGCAAAATGTTTTCTAAACTTGATAAAGCCAAAATCATGTTTTTGTCTGTTATACTTTATGCTTTTAGTGCCCTCAAGGGCACTAAAAGATCCTAAGCCAAGGTCACTAATTAATTTACATTGTTTATTTTAAGAGGCCTTTGCTTGTTGTTTCTGCTGTTTGAACGTTGTAGTGGTAAATGTTAGTAGAGAATGTCTAACCAGCCTTTCACAATCTTTGTAGCTTATCTTCTAATAGATGCCCCAAACAATTGAGTAAGAAACACATTTAGCTGAAGGATATCTCAGCTCTTGCTTAATTGAGGTCATTTACTGTGAGGGGATGGAATTTCAAGATGCCCTCTAAGTGTCTGGAAATAATTTCAGAATATGAGAAGCAGTGTCAAATAAAGGTAAAAAAAAAGTTTGAGCTTATTTCATTAATGCCTCTTTTCTTAAATGCCCAGGCATATACTATACCGAGAGAGAAACTGTTATTCTATTCAGAAACAACAGTACAGAATTCTATTGTCTAGCACTTCATCTCCTCTCCTTGACCTCTTTAAAAAAATATCAAAATAGATTTAATTTTCATGGCAGAGTGTTAATGGCAATTAACTCTAATATGGAAGTCAGAGAGTCATACTCTCTCCCATAACATGTAGGTCTTGAGCATCAAATTATTCGACAGGCTTGGCAGAAGTCTCATTATCTGGTGTACCTGTTGATTCACCTCACTGGCCGTGCATATGATATTCTCTTTTAAAGATCTATTTATTACCTTATGAATATACTCATGCACTTGCATGAGTTTGTGTGGATCATATGTATAGAAGGACCTATGAAGGCTTCAGAGGGCATCTGATCCCCTTAAGCTAAAGTGACAGGCAACTCTGAGCTGTCAGGTGGGTGCTGGGAATCAAACTGGATCCACTGCAAAAGCAGAAAGTGCCCTTAACTGAGCAATCTCTCCAGCTTCAAATGGCTATGTTTCTTAAAGCATTCCTTCTCTGTATTGTCCAGGGCTACAGCTGCGGTTTCTCATATCAAATTTTCACAGGGGAAAAACAATGCATTTTTCTTTCTTTCTTTCCAGATAGACTCTTAGCATCTGGAATTACCATTTAGTTTAAAATATTTTGTCATGGAAGGCAAGGCCAGTGCTCACTTCTTGCAATGGAACACTGGTAACATTTTGGGTTACAATACAGGAATCTCCCTGTGAATTTTCCTCATTAGGATGCCTTTCAGTGAGAATTTAAATTCTAAGGCAGACTAAGGAATTTCATGAATCTAAGCAACTGTTCCTTGAGACTCTTGCATGTCCCAAGAGCATGTGTTTATAAAGAATAAATCTCATGTCATTTTTTGATGAAGAGGTTATTGATTTCATAAATATTTCTCTAAGCCTAAATGTATTGATTATTACTCAGTGTTTCTCTGTGTTTGTATATAAGAGAAAGAGCTTGTGATATAGATAAAATAATTGCAGCATGCTAGTAACACAATGCATGTGTGCCTGGTGCCAGTGAAAGTCAAAGAGGGTACTGGATCCCCTTGAACTGGGGTTACAGATCAGTGTGAACTGCCATGTGGTTGCTAGTAACCACACCCTGAACCTCTGCAAAAGTAACAATTGCTTTAACTGCTGAAACTTCTCCCCTGACCTCAGACATCATTTTAAAAGCCATTCTTATTTAATTTAATTAGTTACTATTGTTGTTTTTTTTGCTGAAAGCCAGGAAATTAGTCTATCACAGAAACATGCCTCTATCCTCTGTTAAGTCACTTTCAGGCACTTGGAAATTCTGCATGTGCTGTTAGCATAATTTGCAAATGATGACGTTTACATTACCATTAAAAACTTGTAAAGTTGGACAATAAAATCATCCATCTATTCTAATGTCTTTCTGGATATTGAACAATGCTTGGATTACACTGTCAGTCATGTTCCCTGTAAGTTAAACCTCCATTCTTTCTGAAGAACTTGAATGGAACAACTTTACCATGAGCTTCTTGATCTCCTTTTTTTTTTTTTTAATTTTTACCTTCACAAGGGAAGGGACAGGTTGTGTTCCAAATGTAAGAACTCAACAAATGTTGCAATGTAGCTGAGGCTGAAAAAAAAATTAATGGATTATTTTTTAGGCATGACCAGTACTATTCCAACCAAAGCAGGTATTTTGTGTATTTAAATGACAAGACAATCTTCCTGGGTAATGTTTAAAGATATTAAAGTCATACAAATACCTTTTATCTTTTTTTTGAGACAGGGTTTCTCTGTGGCTTTGGAGCCTGTCCTGGAACTAGCTCTGTAGACCAGGCTGGTCTCGAACTCACAGAGATCTACCTGCCTCTGCCTCCCAAGTGCTGGGATTAAAGGCGTGCGCCACCATCGCCCGGCACAAATACCTTTTTTAAAAATTATTTTAATGGACAAGTTTCTTAATGTCTGGTTTGAAGTGAATTTGGGTTACAAAGAAAATAACTAAATACTCAAAACATTTCAGCAAGACAAAAGTTTGATTTCCTCTGAAGGGTGTTTAGCCATGGCACATCAAGTCGGACCCCACATCCGTGCTTCTCATTGAGGATTTATTACAAATACAAAGGGGTCTTGTGCCTCACTCTGAATGCCCAGAGCTTGGCTTCACGTTTTTATAGTTTTGATTAATTCAAAATTGCACAATTTGTAAGCAAAGTGCACCATTTGAAAGAAAGATGCAACCTTGAGTAAATATTTTGATCTTAGAAAAATATTGCGTTAGAGGGTAGATTCCTACTGGATGGCAACTTTATGAATTTCACTAAAGATGGAGCTTCCTTTGTCTCATTTAACTTTTTGAAAGAAAAGACAATGCATTTTATTTACATTCCACACACACTAACGTATACAGTGGCAGAGGGAGCTTATATGTCTCTTGACCTCCTCACGTACCAAGGAAGGAGAGTGTCCTAGTATAATCCTGAGCTGCCACATTTCCAGTCCTTCTTTGCTAAAACCCTGCATAGCAGTCCTGGCACAGAGAACATCGTTAGCAAATTACATGTGAAGCTAAATGAAGAAGTAATTCCTGTCTGCTCCAGTTGGTACTGTGATGAGGTAAACCCAGTGCTGTGGAAGCTAGAGCTCGAAAAGTGATGAGAAAGATGTAATATCAGTTGTCTATTGTGAATATAGAGGAAGCAGAAGAGCCTCAAGAAAATAACCAACCTTACACAGCAGCTCTCTAATAACATGCTAAATAATTTGGTTCGATTCTAAGAAAACAAATCCTTTTTTGTTTTTAAAATTAGGAATTAAAATGTTATGATTCCCTATGTTAATATAAAAGAAAAATTGATGTTAGTATATGAGGGAATGGGGATTTGACTAAATTCAACATCACTCATTTTTTAAAATATTTAAAAAAATATTGTAGAAACATTAGAAAGCATAAACTTTAACAACACCTATGAAATGCCCTGCTTTCAAGTAGGTGTGTGTGTGTGTGAGCATTTTAATTAAGGCTTTGAAATTTTCATAGAATATATTTTGAATATTTTCATCCCTCATCCTTATCTCCACTTAAATTCACCCCTCTCACCAATTCCATGATCTCCAAATTTTGAGGAAATTACCTCAGTTATGGGTGAGAGTTCATGTTCATCTGCCAAGCCCATGCTGGGATTTTGTGTGACTTGAGCTTGGGAAGACATGTGCGTAGTATTATGACTGCCAACTGCTTTATGGAATCTAGGAAACAAACACTGTTATCTTACAGTCATTCACCACCTCTGGATTCTGGATAGCCCAGTCTTTTCATTCCCTCATATGAAGACTGCTACTGGATAAACTCCATATATATGTGTGTGTGTGTGTGACTATGTGTGTGTATATATTTACGAATATATATACACACATGTAACTGGAGACTGTTCATTCATTTCCCAGCTACCCAGACCCAAATAATCAAGTAGAAACTATATTAATTACAATACTGTTTGACCAATAGCTTAGGTATATTCCTAGCTAGCTCTTATATCTTAAATCAACCCATTTCTATTAATCTATGTATCACCACAAGGCTGAGGCCTATTGGTAAGGTCCTGGAGTCCTTATCCTTTGCCATCTACATAGCATCTCTCTGACTCCATCTACTCTTTCTATATATTTCTGTTTGGATTTCCCACATGGCTTGGCTCTGCCAAGCCATTGGCTGAAACAGCTATATTCATTAACCAGTAAAAGAATAAAAGCAACACAT